CTTTGAGGCTTCGAGGCAAGTGCCGCTTGCTGCAAACAATTAGCCAAAGTGTCGTCGTAGCAACACCAAAAACAACAACATGCAACATTTTATCCATCAAACTGTGCATATGGCTAAGCTCATAAAATCCCGGACAAACATTGTTGACTGGCGCCGTCGCTGAAGCCGGAATGGGGCGCGGTTCGTCACGGCATAAGCACACACACGCACACACACACGCACACACACACACACACACACACACACACACACACACACACACACACACACACACACACACACACATAGAAGCTTTCATTCACATCACATTTTTTTCTTTTTTTGTTATTTTTACAGCTCATGTTATTGTTTTTGGTTTGTTTACGCTTCATTTGGATTTTTCACTAGGTTTCATTTGCCTTAAGTGGATTCCATTGCTAATTAACCGTTGGCGCTCAAAGCTCAAATATTAATAATGCAACATTTATTGGCAAAATTATGAAATATATATATAATCTTTACTTTATACAAGACAAACGCAAAAAATGTGTTCATAGAAAATAAAAACAAATAACAGTAGCTATAATGAATTTCCATTGAATATTCAGATCTATTTACATAAATAAATAGCAATGAGCAATGAGGTATAAAGAGTTCTATTTATCCAATTATGGCGGCTTTATAAGGTATATATAAATACCTAGATATACATATAAGTATGTGCGCATAACAAGATGCCATAAATAAGCATTGGGCAAATAAACAGCTAGTCAAACAAATTGGTTATGTATTTTGTTGTTAAATTGGCATAGCGCTAAATGTGCCATACGTTTGTTTGTGCGATTTTTTTTTTTTTGTAGTTTTCTGTTTACGCTAATCAAAGTGAGGGGCAGCATTTAAGACGCATTCAACCTCTCTCCATTTGAGAGTGTTATTTATTTTATTTTTGCACATTTTGAAAGCCGCTTAACAACACCAATTTATATTCCATTTGCTTTGAATGGACAGCCAGGAGTCGGGAGGATTGTACAGAGCGAAAAATTAGTTGGACTACCACACATTTCTACTGAAATCTTACTTGAACTAAGATCAAAATACTGAAAGTAAAAATTGCTACGGAACTCTTACTTGACATTAGAATACTCAAAGTAATTTCAATCTTCGTAGAATATTATAATCAGATTTTATATTTTTTCCTTGATATTTTCTCTCTGTGTGTGTTTTATGCATTTGAAATGGAGCACAGTTGAACAAATTCATTGCAGCAATAAAACAATGCAATTAAAATGGCTACCAGGAAGGAAGGGGCGGGAAGTGGATTGTTACTGGACGTATATGGGTCACAGGACTACAAAAAGTTGCAGAGCCATTTGTAGTCTGTTAGCTGCCCACTCGGAAAAAGCCATTACAATGTCCATCGACAAAACTGCTGACAGGCAGGCTTGTGCCCAAAAACTCGACAAGGAGCTACAAAGAGAGAGAAAGAGAGAGGGAGCGAGAGAGTGAGAACGGAAGGCAGGAGATTTTCACTAGCTCGGAAACTGTCAGTGCACACTTGACATCCAGGACACCAAGGACGACATGGGCAAGGCTGCAGAGCGGAGCTAATTCAAGTTTTTAACATGCAGTAGTCAGTCTCTGTCAGTGCAGCAAGTTTTTAGTCAACACTCTTGCTGTTGCATAACAGCGATGAGCACAGCAACAAAACGACAACGACATTATCATTAATTAATCATTATGCCCACGCCCAGAATGCAGCCATAGAATCCATTGAGAGCAAATGCAATAAAACTAAAAACTAGAAAGAAAGACAGCTCTATGCGGCATGATGAAGATTTAATACACTTGCAGGGGAGAATCCAACTGATTACATCATTCCAAAATCCAACCCACTGCTCCTATGGGAACTAAATGATATAGTGACATCAGTAAAAATACAGATATGTTCAAAGTTTACCAAATTAGATGCAAGACTGAAACGAGTTCACTTAGGGAGGAGACGTGGCTATTGATGCTGATTGAGTATATATTGCTGTATATACCTTATGTAATTGAAAGTCTCTCATTCCATGTATTTAAATTGTAATACCCTTATGCAAGGGTATCACAAGCGACGACAACGACGACATAAAAATGAAATGCCAACAGTTGGTGGCAACTAGGCAACCCGAGCCAATCAGCTGGTGTGGGTCAAATGTTTGGTTTCGTTTGAACAGCCACCCACCCACAGCCAAAAAATAGATACTTTCCATTGCATAAAATTTGTGTGTTGTGTGTGTGTGTGTGTGTGTGTGGGTGTGTGGGGACATCGATGATAAATGTTTGTCGGTTGAGATTGCACAAGGGGAAAATTAATGGTTGCCCTAGCGGTATGTTGTCTGCTTTTGTCGGGTTGTTTGGTTTTTCGATTGTTCGTTTCGGTTGTCTGCTGTGGGTTGTCGAGTTTGAGTGTGTGGCATCCGTTGCACTTGCCTGGCAACTCATGGCAACCAATGTGCACCACAACACAGGTGGTGTTTTACGATGCTTGTGCAGGACGTGAAATTGCACTTGATTATAACTCACAAACTGTGTTAGATAGTTTGAATTTAGTTATTCATATATTCAAATCTGAAAATGTATTAAGTGGAATTATTATATCAAGTTTTATCAACGTTAAAATATTCACAGAGATATGAGGTAGCAAGGTTTTAAACAATTATAGTTCTAATCATTTTTATATAAGACCGGTAATTTTTTATTTCCTTGATATAAATTATAGATAATTGCTAAACGAATTAAAAATGGGTAAAAATGGTTATGAACGGATTGAAGTTGTGTAAAATAATGCCGAAGAAAGCATGTACGGCCCCCTAAAATATATATTCTTGATCAGCATCGAAAGACGAGTTCATTTAGCGATCTATATGATCACAGAGCCAGCTTTGCGAATATCGATACAAATTGATTACCGATAGCAGTAACAAATACAATCGAAAAGACACACCCTTCCAATTAATATATTATGTACATTGAAATATAAGTGATCAGCTGCAAAAATATTCAAAATCGAAAAAGAAACGCAGATGTTATTAACCAAAACATATTTTCACATTGAACACAACACAATCAGAAATATGTATTTAACAGCTGTGCTTGGGATACCTTCTAAATTTATTTATTAATTGAGTTTTCATTCCATATTTTCCAAATGAATTCGTTTATTATTTTAAATGCTCCATTCTTTTCAATAGCTAACGTGCTGGTAAACATATTATTGCCAGCTGATTTGAGTGCAACTCTAATTCCCAGTCTCCAATTAAATGCTAAGTACACACACACACACACATGCAAATTAAGTATTCAGCATTCAGTTCCAGTCGGTTGGATTATATTATCAATGCTGCTCTTTGGGTTTACTAAAGCTTAACAACCTGTTTCAAAAGGCAGCTGCCATTCATGTGGAAAATAAAATGTAAAAGAAATCCATTACAATATTTTCGCTTTCACCGCTCGCTGCGGTGGCTGTTGCTGCTGCTGCTGCTGCTGATGGCTCTTTTATCTGATTCGACAACAACAAAAACAACAAATCCATGACCTTTGTGGTTGCCATCTCCCCCCACCCATGTCTCCCTCACTCTTTGACTTAATTACACATGGGCCTGCCATCTATCATCTCTGCCCCTCTCCCCCTACATGTTTTATCCAGCAATTCCCCTCTCTACAGACTGCACTGCCTACACACAAATTTGGGTCAGCCACTAAGCGTAAGTGAGTGTTATGTAAATTACAGCGCGCACAGCTTAAAAGGACCTGCCAGCTCTGCATTCCCCTCTCCCTCTTCTACCACTTTGCTTTGCAGCTTAGGGCTTTTTTTTTTCTTCGTTTTTTGTTTTTAATTTTTTGCCAGACAAAACTGGAAACGCTGATGCCGCACCCGATTTGAGGAGCCGTTAGCTAAACTAAACTGCTGGCATTTCATTTCTCGTGGTGCGTTTTTAATTTAGCTGCAGTTGGCAGCTGCAAAGTGCTCATCATGCGTGTGTATACAAATACCGGGAGAAAATTAGCGTACTAAAACAAAATTCGACTCACTCTGCAATAAGTGCAAATCAATATTTTTGTAGCAAAAATGTACTATTAAAAATTAATTTTAATAATAGTTAAGTTATGCAAAAAAATTGTTAAAATATATATTTAATATAAGTCGGCTTGTTCGAATTCCATACTATTTATAGTTCTTAATACTTAATATTTATTTCTTTATATATATATATTTGTTAATGGTATTCTTTTAATAAAGTTTCTTATGAATAAAATCGTTAAGTCCGAATTCATTTCTTTAATAAGCATCCTACAAATATTAAATCTGAAACGAATCACCATATTTTTCTCTCTGTGCATAAGTGTGCGACAGGGGTTGGGCACACTGCAAACAAATATGCAGCTGCAACCAGGAGAAAAACAGCAGCAGTGGCAAAGCTGATGAAATGCTCAATTGTAGAAAAGTCGCTGACATCGCTGACGTCGGCCGAACGGAGATTATATCATAACCACAGTCACACACACACATACATACTACGTACATATATTGTCATCAGTATGTATCGTCATCATCATCACCAGCGGGAATATAATAATGATCAGTGGCTCTCTGCCTGCTATAATGCCACATGCGTCGGGCATTGACCATGACGAAGAGCAGCGCCAAAGCAGAATGTAAATAAAGCACAATAACAAGACAAGACACGACAACAAATAAGTAGGCATAAAGTGCACTCGGAAAGTGCACGACTTGAAGATACCCCTTGTTATAATGTTTAATGGCGGTATTCACATCCACTGAGATGCAAAAAGTTTCATGAAGAATTTTGTGGACTTGTGTTGTTAGCTTCTGATAAATATTGAAAATCTGATTACATTTCTTATTGCATTTAAGTAAAGATATCTAAATTTAATTTTGTTTATATAGTTTATATTATGATTGTTGCAGATATAAAAACCATAACTTCGAAAACTTAATATTGTATTTAATAACTTACCTGTCAGTGTGCAACGCTATTCCAAATAAAATTCTGAAAATAAATAAAAGTTTTATTAATATTAAGATTACTTCAGTTGATATATTTGCAAAGACGTAAACTAGAGCCGCGTATTAAAAACACAAGCCCGGAAACACATTGCCTAACCCAGTTTTCCCACACACATTTCCACAAAATCAATAGGCACCTTTCCCCACTATGCACAGGGTATAAGAAGTCACAATGAAGACGCGTAAAACCAGACCAAGCACTAAACTCCAAGTACCAACATCGCCATCGACATCGACACCGGCTACGTCTGTGGCAGAGTTAGTCTGTGGCGGCGGCACTTCCCCATTTGTCCGCGGAACAAGTCAACAATCTCATAATCAGTTAAATTACAAAGCAAAACAATGGACTGATGAAAAGGGGTAGGGTCGCTTGGGCTGAAAAAACAATCTGGTTATTGCGTTTAATGAGCTGAATGACTTTGGCCAAGTGGTTGTACCCCAAAGGCTGCAACGCCGGCATTCTCAGTTAGCCAAATATGAGTTCGTCACAAGCAGCTGCAATTTGCAGCCCAATCAAATTCAAACTTGTCGCAGCTTGCCACCAAAGGCAAAAGGGCGTGTTGTACACTCAGCGAATTTCGATTATCGAGAATTTCGGGTGCATCAACATCATAACAGTAACATTATTCATTGTGCAAATGCAACAAAAGACAGGAAGACAGTTCGTCCATCTGTCTCTCTGCTGGGGTCACTCACAATTGGTGACCTATTTCGGTTATTGGATGGTTCGTTTGGCCAGCTGACCAAATTGTCGGTTTTATTGCATATTGAATTAATTATTACGTATGTCTGTTTGCATGTATGCCCCATAAGCACGTCCGACATGTGGAACAACATCAGCAGCTCTCAGCGTTGAGAGCGGCTAAAAATAAAAAAATAACAAACTCACAGCGCAAATAAAATAGAAATGGAATTGAAAAACATTGAAAAACTCCAAGCGAATGGGCCTTTTGAACTGTTTGTCATAGTTGGCCGGGCTGCTTGCAACAACGGCCACAAAAATAGCCGCACAAATCTCATTGAAAGTCGCAGCCGCCGTGTGCTCCATTTGCCACAAAAAAAAAAAGAAAAAACAGGCAACAACAGAAAACGACAGCGAAAATTAGATTTAGATATGGATCGCTACTACATCGACATTTCAATGCTCTTTGCAGATAAAAAGATACATTTTTCAGCTGTGATTTAGTCTTTGTTATATTTAAATGGAATTTGCTAATGGATTTTCAAAGTAAATCATTTATATCACACATTCAATTTAGAGAATTTTTGTATGTAAGGATTGTGTATATCTGGGGAATATAAGTTTGGAGTGCTGATCATTTCAGAATCTTTGAATCTTAACAGAGACTCATTAAACAGAACCGGAACCAAAACTCAGTACATTTTTAAGAACCATAAGGAAGTCTTTTAAAATGTTGAATGAATTCACATAACTAATCAAATCAACATTACTTTTGAATGAAGATTGTCTAAGCTTTTTCAAATCATTACAAATTATATGGGTATATGTATAAATAGCTCCATCCAATGTATAACACCCGTCAATAAAAAAGAGTATAATATAAGGAAACGAATACGTAATTCTCTTGATTATGGTTAGAGGAGCAGTCGCCGATTTAGAGTCAGATCCAGATACAGCTGCTGTTGCCTGGAACTGTCTGGAACTATTCCAAAATTGTTGTCGAGTCGAATTTAATGCGGCCACTGGCTTTTTGACATGCCACACACTATTTTCGAATATGAATATGAATGTCTTCAGAGTGGGTATTCATTTCGCTTTGGTCAGCGCTGGAGCGAAGTGTTTTTTTTTTTTCATTTCTTTTTTTAGCGCACACTTTTCAATTGCTTGGAGCATCCTTCAATATATCAAGCAGCTGATGTTATGTAACATTTTTTTCTGTTAGTTTTCTTTTGGCTCGCTGCTGCAGATGATGCTGATGAAGATGATGATATGGGGGGAAATGAAGCGTCTGAGGAGGATGATGTAAAGCTGAAGTGTTGCCGCTGCCCTGTCTAAAACTAATAAGACGTCAAGTAATTTTGACAACTTGCGAGTTGCGGCGATAAAAAAAAAAAAAAACTTTGGAAAGGAAAGTTTTTTGCCGTGGCCTCTCAAACAGATAGATGTGTTCATAAGTAAACATAATACTCTTAAAAGAAGTGTTCAAATATTACATTTTCTTCGCAAGTACATACACTCGTATATATATGTTTAATCTTTCTTACTGTGTATATGCATCTATATATTTACAGGAAAGAGTAATGCACTCAGCAAGTGAACATTTTACACAACTCATATGGTTGGAATTGATATATTGTCAGAGGAGAAATGAACAGGAACCGATAGTTTTATTATTACTATTACTATTTTCTTCATATTTAATGAAGAAAAGGTTAGCTTCACAGGACACAACTCTAAAACTAGTTCCGATATAATGGTAACCCTTGAGCAATTGAGTAATCAATCACGAAGCTTATTCAAAAGGTTGAACCTTATAAGTATTTCAATTATAATGCTGAAATTCGATATCTTTAACTATACCTGTCTTAAATTCAGTTCACAACAAGTTCAAGCTGATTTGGACATGATGCAAGATATGAGATCGTAAAAACCAACGTATCTAGCTTGTGTATCTCTGCGCTGCGTTGCAAACAACAGTTCACAACAATTATACCCGCTGGGGTAAGGTTATAAAAAAAAAAATAGAAAAAGTCTCGGCACTTGGCTACGCTTTTGTGCAATTTTTTATTATTTTTTTGTTTCTTTACAAGCGAAAAGTTTGTCTGCCAGCTATTTTCAAGTCAAGGTGGGAGCTTAGGGGGCCAGACGTGGGGGTCAGTGCTTTCATCTTGCTATATTTCTTTGCCCACTGAGGCATTATTTATGTATGTATCCAGCTGTACCCGACAAAAGGCGGGGCAACTCTGTCAGAGCAAAGCTTAAAGCTATCTGATATGAAAACCGTGTGAAAATTGCGGCTTAAGTGTTAAATTGCAGTTGTGCGTGGGCGGCAAGGGCGCGGCAGGTGTGTGTGGGTGAGATGTGAAGTGTCAAGCGGTGATAACCGCTCGGTTTATAGAGTTATCAAGTGCTCATAAAATGTGTGTACACAGAGAAAAATATCTAAAGAATTTTCTCTGCGAATTATTAACAAACGTTCTAGTTTGAAAAGCGATAACCAAAAAAAAAAAATCGAATTTCAAGATTTTTGTTAGTTATGGGTTAAGACGAGTACTCAAATTTTAAAAAGTTAGATGTTGAGAGAGCTCGACTAGGAGACACAATGCACAGGTTTTAAATACACATATATTTATATTTTAATGGGCAAGTTTTAGCTTTACAAATCTCATTTCTTGTTATCGGATATCGATTGGTATCGATAATTGAGAAACGAGAGCAGTTAAGTCTCTAGCTTTTATTGTCACTGGCACGTTGCCAAATCGATCCGGTTTATGACGCCGTAAATGCCTGGGTCTGCGCATTACATATTTTGTATTATTTATACACCCCTCTTACCCATTTTTTATGTGTTCAGGGTATACAAATTCTAAGCTAATTGCACCATTTCTCTGAGTGTAGTCACGCCCAGATATGAGCTGCCTACCCGCATTTGACACGCCTGTTTGCGGGGTTTTTCGGCTAACATGGGTTAAGTACAATCCAAAGTGCCGCTCATTAGCACACGCACACACACACACACACACACACACACACACACACTCACCTTAACACACACCTCAACACACACATAATCTATGCACACACTCTGCGAGAATTCGAATGAAGTTGTTAACACTGAAGAGGCCACTCGGTTTCTGAGTGTTTTTCAGGCCAAACCAGGAAAAAGGAGAAGCCAGCGGGTTGCCTGCAAAACAGCACTTGACCCTGGGCCAGTAGATAACAGCAACAGCAACAACAACAACAACAAGCCATTTGAGTTTATGACTTGTGCCATTTACACTCCCCTCATCTCGATTGAATGACTCAGACCTTGTGTCCTTGCTTGCGTGCATTTAAGGCATTAAAGGACACGTCGCCGGCAAAACCCAAAGTCCCAAAACACGTTTACACAGTGCTTTCACGAAAATTATGACTTTTCCAAATTGGAATTGACTTGAAATTTGAGTCATTATTATGAAAGCATTGCATGCTTTTAAACTAAAATTCGTGCTTCAGGCAGATATATTGATGTGGATATATGTAGCCTTAGCCTAGTATAGCAATTTTGGAATACAGCTAAAAAGAGTATAGAAAACAAATTAGAATGCTCCAGTTGAGAGAGTTAGGCTAGGAGAGACCTTGAATACAGTCTGCTAGATTTTAATCTAAGAAAGCACTTGTTCTTTTGCGCAAACTCGAAACAAAAATCACCTGCATAATAAAAGGTTTTTTGTTCTATATAAAACTATAATTTGGTTTAAAAAAACTGAATTTATTTTTTTACAGCTCATTAAAAAGATGTCAGAGTATACAATATATCAATTAAGAGATCATATCTATACAACTGATGTTATCGATTTAAAGGAAGTCAACTTAATCTGTTTACGATATACGAGAACTTGTATTCCATAGCTTAAGTCTTTAGTTCTTACAATCTCTGAGATAGACTTTATAAATGCAGACGTGCCTTTTGATACCGATCAAGAAAATATATACAACTTTATCCATTTGAATGGGTCAAGGGTATAGATAATATTACTGTTGTGAGCAGCTTTTTATTTTTTTGTTGCTTGCTGCTGCCTCTTAAAATGTGTCCGCAATTCAATTAATTTACAACCAGGTCCTTAAGTGGCTGCCAGCCGAGGATGTGCTGTGCGGACAAATTTTAATGTTGTGGTTCGTATACTTTTGAGCTTTTGGGCGGGTAAAGAAAATTTAATTGCCTGAGGTCGCCCGTAAATTGACAGTCAACGTTTCGAAACACTGATTTCCATTCTGGTAAGTTTTTTCCATAATTTTTAATTTTTTTTTTCTGTATATTTGAGAGAAGCTTTAAATTGTACGCAGCTCGTTAAATAATTTGCAAAGGCAGACGGGGGTTTGTTGGCAAGGGGAAGGTGTGTCCAAAAATGCTTGACGAAAGCGCAGTGTGGCATGAAAAAAAATGAGCGCAATTCCAAATTATGAAAATACACTCGGAGAAAGACGCTGTACTAAGCCCAAACACGAATGGTTTTTTCTCTTAAAACTTAAAGTAAGTATTTGTAAATAAGTATAAACCTTTCTTGATGTGCAAATCATTCAAAAACGAAATAAGAATTTAATTTTCTTTACCTTGGCTTAAGTACATAATTCTTTATATGGTTTTTTTTCCAAGTGCACCTACAAAAGCGACATAGAAAAAAGTGGAAAAATGTGACGGCGACCGCAAAATGCAAATGAAAATGCAAAATTGTGAATTCATGAAAAGGCCGAAAGAGAAAACGGGTCTGGGTCTGAATTCTGGTTCTGGTTCTGTTTCTGGTTGTGGGTATGAAGCGTCGTCAGCTGTCGACGGCTCTGCTCTTGAGCTTGAATGGCAGCCAGACACATGAGGAGAACAGGAGAGTTACGCTCCCTACACACACACAGTCAATGTGCATGTGTGTGCGGTGTGTCTGGATCGAGTCTGGTGCCGAGTCTGACTTTGGCATTGCTCCTTGGTTCTTGGCTCTTTGCAATTACGTCAATTGCGCAAATGTCCAAAATGTAACAAACAAAACCGTTAAGCGGAAATCCACTGCAATTTATGACAGACTCATCGCCATCATCGAGTCATTGCTGTGTTTATTTCGTATACCCTACAAATCGAAATTGCTATAAAATAATGTCTTAACTTGAAATAATTACAACACTATCAATTTTGACTAACGAATTTGTAGCTCCTAAATTGAAAACTGGAATGAGCAAGTCTCGTATGTGCGAATTATGAATTGAATATGATTAGGCAAGCTAGAAATATACACATATTTTGATATAATATAAGCAAATTATATTGACTTAAGCTAGGGTATCTTGAAGTCGTGTACGCTTGTTAATGGCATTTTCTTGGTGTCTGATTCATTGCTAGTTGAAGTGAACCTTTTGCATAGTGTGGATGTTTATTTGTTGTTGTAGTTGTTGCCGCTGATATCATCCAGAATTATTGTTGCAGACATCGCTGTCGGCGCTTTTGTCTGCAGACTCAGACTCCATTCAAGCCTGGACGAAAGCTTTGAGGCATGGCAGGGAGGAATGGAAGCAGAGGGGGGAACACTGCACGGCAAATTGTGCTCGGCGTTTTTGGATTTGCATTTGTTGTAGTTATTCATAAAGTTGGCAACAAAAAAAATATAAATAAAAAAAACCACGAACTGAGAACTTTTTTCTGCAGCTACCTCAAATTTTTAGAGTACGCGCTGAATTATTATTTTTCTTGTTGTTGCATGTTGTTGTTGCATGGTCAACACCAATACACACACATACACATGGAGTTGTAGTATTGATTTTTTTGCGTAGTTGTTGCTTGACTCGTTAGGTTTTAAGTGCAGCAGCAGTAAAAGTTGAGGCAGCAGCAGCCTCCTCGCTATTTATAATTTTCTTTTATTTACTCTGCTTTATTAAAAAAAAGGAAGCGGAGTATTCAGAAGATTATAAGCTTCATTCAATTTGCGTATAATTGTAATTTGAGCAAATTCTATTTTGCGACTTAACAAATGAGAAAATTGTGGCAGCTTATTCAGCATATTCAAAAATTGAGTCATTCAAATGGTAGCAGCGAACCAGAACCAGCAGCAGAACAGAAACTGAAGTTAAAACGAATCAAAAAGTTTGTCAAAGAATCAAAGAACTCAAAATAGTTTCCATTTCAAAGTTATCCAGTTTGGAATGTTTGATTGTAAAACAAATTTCAACTCATGCCAAAATAGTTCCAACTTTAAAATAGTTTTTGTTGAACACACAAAAATTATCAGCGATTTCAATATGAAGAATAGGGTTGTTTTCAGACTGTAAAAAGAAGAATTGACGTAAAAGGATAACAAATTGAGTTTTGCTTATTGAATCAATCCCAAATCAGGTTACGCCGCTGGTTCTAGTTCTGATTTGCAATCGGTTAAATTTGGTTAACGGTTCCGCTTCCGGTAAAGCAATCATTGAATGTGAATCGGTTAATCGGTTGATTTCGGTTCCGGTTTGATTCCCTTTTTTTTTTTTTACATTTACTAAAGAGTCAACAAATGTTAGTCATAAAAAAATCCATGTCTTATTTGACGTCCAATTGGTAAGTCAACAAATTCGGGTTGTTTAACTATTAGTTGATTAAGAAGAAGAGCTGCATTTGCAAACCAAATAGAGTATTGCTGAGCCGGAAAGGTTCAACTGCAGGAAAAACTTTTTTGCATTTTATTTTTTTGTTAGCTGCAACTGTAATTGGCTGCCGACGACGTTTGAAGAGCGTTGGCAAACGTGTTTATGGCTAAAAATTCAAAGTTGGCTTTTTTCTTTTTTCTATTTTTTTTTTAAGCGGCGAGGCCGTCGCGTGTGTGGGCGTGTGTATGTGTGTGTGTGTGTGTGTGTTAAGCAGACTCACCTTTAGCTAAACATGACACGGTCACACTGTCCGTCAGTCTCTCTGCCGACGACTCTGCCACAATATTATCAATGGCTGATAAGGAAGCGCGAGGGAGGAGGGGCGGGGATTGTTGGTGGTTGGTTGGCTGCAGCGGCACAAAAAGTCACCCGCTTTGTGCTTTGTGCAAAAATGAAAAGAAATTAAACGATAATTTGTGTTGTGAGCAATCAGACGCGACTGAGACACAGACAGCGGCAGCGGCAGAGGCAGCGACAGCGTCTCTGTCTCTCTCTCTGTCTATCTCCCTCCGTCACACTGTGTGTGTGTGTGTGTGTTGTGTTTGTGTTTGGTTTTTGTTTGTTCTCTCTTTTGCTTTTGCCTTTTACTTCACACAACGCGTTGTTGTTGTTGCCTGCTGCACATTTCACTTATTTTTCATCACAATTGCATTTCTCTCACTCAATTTCATATTTCACTGCGTTTTTTTTTTCTCTCGCTTTTGCTTTGCACGGCTATCCTGCGTGGGGCAAAGGATATAATTTTCTTTTCTTTTTCTTTGGCTTTTTTCTCATTTACTTTGCGTATTATTATTGCAACATTTGAGACCTGACAATTTGCCGGCCGGGGATGTTTTACGTTGTGTTGCTCACTTCCGTTTTATTTATTTTACTACATATTTGGTTAGTTTTAGGTGAAATATCACGCGCCGCAAAATGCGCGCAGACACGCTCCAAATTTTCTCAAATATCAACTAAATGCACAAAAAGTGTGGCCGCAGTTGGGTATAGGTAAAAATACCAACTAATTTAGTATTTTCTATTTCTGTCTACATGTCTACTCAAATTGAGTGGCTGGCAACATGTAGCCTCAACTTGTGCAGCGAGCTGGTCACACAATTCAATATAGCTTATAAAACATTTACAAATTGGTAATAAAATGAAAATAAAACAAATATATACATTTCAGGTGTAATTTGTAACTACATAATTTGTCACTATATAGAACTTTGCTAACATATTTTAAATATATCTTGTTAAGCATAGTTGTGTCTTCTAGTGGCAGATGGCGCTGGCAGTCGAGCGTCATCTATTTACAACTGTGTGCAACTTACGGATCTTAAACGGTGTGGCAACGTTGTGTTGTTTGGAAATAGGTTTTTGTATTTGCTTAAATTATGTGTGCGAATGATTTAAAATTGATATCATAAAACTGTAGAGCATTGAATTGATATAAAAACTGAAGATTATAATATAAAATTCTATTATAGTAGAAAACTAGGGTTTCTTCAAAACGAGTAAAAGAGCTGCATCGAGCCAATGCAATTTCAACTGTTGCTCTCTCACTCTTACCGTTGCCAATTACCGTTTACTCTTCTTCAGTTGTAAGTTTTACGCACACTATCATGCATGTATGAATGGATATGCATTCGTGTATGTGTGCATGTATTGTGTTGAGCATGCGAGATAGTAAAAAATGTAGAAACATGAAAAAATTCAATTCTAATTTGTTAAGTTTTGTAATTTTGTCGGCCACGTGCTTATTGCCAAAATATATATGAATTGCATACATGTATACATGTATACTGCTCTATAAAATGGTCAATACAAAAGTGAATACAAAGAAAGAGAGAGATAGGGATATATAGAGTGAGAGAGAGAGAGAGAGAGAGAGAGAGATAAATAGGCGGGGAGCGAGAGAGAGAAGATAAAAGATACATATTGTGCGGCAGAGTAGGAGAGCAAAGAAGACATATATAGTGTGTGTGAGAGAGAGAGAGAGTTGAGACTTACAATTTGGCATACAAATTCTTATTTCTTATCCATAACTTTATCCAATCCGCGTATATCGATAAAAATCGATTAGTGATAACGATAAAAGTAACCATTTTTTAAATAGAGTCACTCAATTGGTATGGAATATTTATTAGACATAATGTCTACTGATCAACTGTATATATTTATTTATAGTATTTTATATATATACATAAATAAGCCCATATATTTGCTAAAGCAAATATCAATGGATATCTTATTGGTGACTCACTCTCCCTCTTTCTGTTTCTCTATTTTTCTATCTCTATCTATATTTCTCTCTCTCTAATATTTATATTAAAAAATATATTACCCAATTGCTTTTAGCGTTAAACATGATTTTAATGTTTTTATATTTTTATCGAAAATGGCAAAATTGGAAAATATATAACATTCTCTTTTTGATTATTACTTTTCAGAGAATTCGTTTCAAGTGACATTTGCTGATAGGCCCAAACATGTTCTGATTGGGTTCTGTTGTCTTGCAAAGTCAACGAGGCTGCAGTGGGCTTTTGTAGACTCCACAGTTTCGAACGGTACGTCGGTCAAAGAGGTGCAGAAAAAAAATGTATTTCGCTTCGGCAATTTCACATTCGCGTTTAAAATGGTTCGGCATCGTAATTGTGGTGACCTTTATAGTATACTGCCTGACTCTTGAAAATATCGCAATAAATGGGAATTTTAACAAATCGTATAATTTCACGGATCAAATTGTGATTGAAGAAAATAAAAATGAGAGCAAAAGCGAAGGATCTGTTAGTGAAGCGTCAGCAAAGTCTAACGAATCGCCGCATCCATTGTACTATGTTTACAATGATCAGTGCAAAATACCCTATATAGATCCATTCGCAAAGGAGGCTTTGGATATTTACAAACCGTTGACATTTGAGACTTGCACCAATGAATCAGATCTGATTAAGCCCTATTTCGATCTGAACAGAAAGCGCTATGTGCTCCAAATCGATGAAAATGTTGCCGCCAAACTACTCAACTCCAGCGATAATGAGTACAATTGCTACTATCAGGAAATTACGCGGAATGCTCTGCACGACAGCTATAACCAGTAAATTCTACAGAATTAATCAATTTCTATTTTACCTTATTCGAGAAATGTTTAATTTTGTATCTTATCTAAATTTGCCAGATCGACCAATTTAATGCTATAAAGACACAATTGTAAAGACAAAGCATATCAATTAATATAAAATAGTGTTTGTATTGAAGAATTTAAGAATTAATTACTTTGTTTTCATATATAGCCTATCACCACGGATATACTTTAGCCAGGGATATGTGGTGCCGTTCCATGTTCAGGGCATGATTGTGGCTTGCAGCGAGGCAGCGAATGCCACAAATGTGTTGCAAACAGATGCATATGCCTTTATACAATACAAAGAGCGACCAGAAACCAAGTCCGCAAAATCGACCCGTCGAAAGCCCAGCGTTATAATGTTTGGCATCGATAGCATGTCGAAAATAAATATCAGACGCACAATGCCCAAAGTGTTCAAATACTTAACGAGAAGTGGCTGGCATGAGATGCAGGGCTATAATAAGGTGAGTACAACTAAAATACTTATATACAGTCGGGGTCGTAATAATAGAAGTGCATTTAATAAAAATATGACTCATTTTATGGTGAAGAAAAATGCAATTCTGCTGAACAACAAATGTTTGGTTTCTCATCTGGGAATATTTTAAAATCCGACTATTTTCCAATTACTAAAGGTAGAAAAATATAACTGAGAAAATTTAATTAATATTCCACTACTATTATAATGATAAATTTCAATAATAATTTCATAAAAATAAATATAAATATAAATATAAATTTAAAAACTATTATTTTTTGCTAATAAATTTTATAGCTATGCCAACTTTTAATGTTTACATATCTTCAGTATTGATTGCTTGTGATTTAATAAAATGTTTATCATTTTTTAGTTATTTTTCATAGTTCTTATAATGTTCCAAAAATATGTCAACACTACTATTATTTCTACCGCAGCTGTATGTATTTTGAATTGTACTCTAATCTGATCTTCGAATTTCAGGTCGCTGACAACACATTTCCCAATTTGATGGCCATACTCAGTGGGTATACGCCGGATACGGAGGCTACGGTTTGCGACACGAATTTGCATGGCTGTTTTGATCGTTTCCCGTTCATCTGGAAGGATCTGCACAAAGCCGGCTATTTGACTGCCTACGCAGAGGATTATTGGAGTCTGAACACCTTTAACTATATAAAGCCCGGTTTCTTGAATCCACCAACGGATTATTATTACAGACCGATGATAAGAGCCTTCGCGCAAGAAATGGAATCGTGGAAATGCGCCGATTGCTCAACAGAATATTGCATCGGACGAAGGCTCCAAAGTAGCTATGTCTATGATTATGGAGCGGAGTTCACCAGACGCTATGTGAATGAGCGACCCATTTGGGGTCTGTTCTGGTCGACCAGTTTCAGCCACGATAGCTTTGAACTCCCCTCGAAAATGGCCGACCATATTTTACAGTATTTGAAGGACTTTGAGCGTGACGGCGTTTTTGAACAGAGCATTGTGATTTTCTTCTCTGATCATGGATCACGTTTTGGGAAGTTGATGTCCTTGGGCAGCGGATTCTTGGAGGAGCGTTTACCCATGATGTTCATCTATTTGCCGCCCTGGTTTCGTGCCCAATATCCCGAATATGTTGAGGCCTTAAGTGTAAATCAAAATCAATTGACGTCCAATTTCGATTTGCATAACACTCTCAAGCACATTATTGAAATAGGAGCACCAAATGCTCCTCCATTGCGCAAGGCATACGATTGTCCCAAATGTCAATCGTTGTTTTATCCTGTGAATAGAACGCGAACCTGTGCGGATGCTGGTATACCCGAGCACTATTGCACCTGCAAGCCATATAAGAGAATTTCATATGAATGGTCAGATCGTATAGCTCCGCTGGTCATTGATCGCATCAATGAATATCTTTGGGGTCGCAATATGAGCAGTCTCTGTGCAAATCTGACTTTGTCGTATATTCACAAGACGGAAGTGAAAATGGGACTCGATCTCAATTTCCATGAGGAACTGCCAAAAATCGATATTGGCGTCTATCGCACCAAGTTCAAAGTTAAACAAAATAGTGCCGATTTTTTTGCCACTGTCATGTTTAACAATATCACCGGAAGCGTCGATGTGGATGTGGAGACAATAAGTCGCACAAATTCGTATGACAAGGACTCCACCTGCATAAATGATAAGATTGCAAAACTATATTGCATTTGCCTAAGTGATATAAAAGATACTCAGTGGTTACTCAACTGAGCTATCTTTTTTGTAAGAACTAACCTAACAAATGTTTTAGCTAATGAAATGTTGTTTTTCCTGTTTTTTAAAGGCACTTTCAACTACACCTGTTTTGTGTTCTGAGTAAATATTTAGTCGTTAGTAAATTTGTATGATGGAAACAAACAAGAATTTTGTATACGCTTTTAGATGATATTATAATTCTATCGTGGCGTTTGTATTAAAGGAGTAACAACTCGTACTTTCTTATCTGACTAAGACTCTGAATGGAATTTCATATGAAATTAAATTTATTCATGTATTGCTTTTGATTGGACAACTTTATTTTGGAAATTATTATAATTGAATTGTATTGCATTTAAATTAAAGTTTCATTTGTTTTAAGATATTAAAATTCAAAAATAACAATTGATGTCTAAAAATATGTATTACACTCGAATAGCGAAAGTACATTCTCAAATCACAGAACAAACATTTGCCAAGTGTGGTACATTTTTAGTAAGAAAATCGTTCAGATCGCAGCAAAAACTGAAACCCGCCTCCTTGGTATCCACAAACTGCAGCGTTGCAGGACATGCAACCTGCTGACAATTTGGAGTTGGCTTAGTTAGGTTAAAGATATTATTGTAGGTGAGAAAAGCGTAACTATTATTGTTTCCGTCGCAAACAGTCTTAAAGAGCCATTCGGGTACTGCATTACCGCTTGGTGGGTTCAAATAAATCGATATGAGTTCCCCAGTAATGCTGTGCGGCAGCTGTAGGACACCAAATCCTCCCGTGCAGATATTTAGCACTTCAAAATTGCCATTGTTAAGCTGGTTGCGTATCCAGGTTTCCAGGGTTTTCCAATTGCCACGATTGATTGAACCAAACTGAGCCACAACATTCAGATATTTGAAGGTTAATCGCATTTGCGAATCAAAACCAAAGTCGGCGGAAGGCACAAGATGACCACGATTGAAAACAATGTCGCTTGGAGAGGCAATATAATTCTGATTTGATCCGAGTAACGTTTTGAAGGTTTCAAAAATGCTGCTAGCCTGGAAAGTGGCAGCCATGGCTCCGGTAATGACACCATCTGTGGTGAAGGACTGGTCGGGGCGTGGTGCGGCTAAAATAAATACGAAAAATAGTAGTCATTTGTGGTGCTGAGCAGTAGAATAATACCATCAGTGATGTGGCACTAGTTTTTATCCTTACGAAATTTAAGAATGGATGATCTCATATGGCGACAGATGGTTCATATTTGCAGAGACTATAATCTCTATTTTAACTTACGAGATGTGATGGGGTATGCCTGGTGTATCACAAAGTGCGCTGTTTGGTTTGGCACATCATAACAGCTTCTATATAGCTCGAGAAACAGTTCATTACTCAGCTTATAACCCACTCGGTACATGGTAAATGGACATATCTCATCACTAACCACCTCCACAATTCCCTTCATTAGTTTACTGCAATCGGTGATAGGCAACGGTGGCGACATATCGCCATTCTGCTGGCAAGTGGTGTACTCCACATCACTGATATTGCAAATCATTTCCAATGTTTGGCCAGTGGGTAGCATATCCAAGCGCTGTAGACAGAGCTCACCATCATCGTCGCGATAAGTAAATAATCGAGTTGTTTCCGAGACCTCCGTAGCGCCAAGTTGGCAATCGGCGCCAACGCGCCAAAAAACTGCAATTGGGTTGTTGCCATTAATTTAAATAAATTACACGATTAAACTTTGTACTTACACATTAAGAAGCATAAGCAAAGCATCGTGTTCATCTTGAGACCTGAAAGCGAGGTAAGCGACTAAAGATTGACAACGACAGCTCCTAGCCATGAAACCTAGCAAAATGCAAAAATAAAAACGACCGAACAAAAATTTGAGGCAAGACAGTTGTGCACACAACAAACGGTTGTTGCACTTACAAACATGCAATGTGTTTGTATACTAACAGAGGGATTTTTAATTTTGTTTCGAAACATGTAGATAAAAGATATGTAAAAGTTAATATATATAAATAGCATAAGTCTCTTCATAATGGATATTGCCCTCTGTCATAAAGCTATCTGCATTAAGCGTTCAGATCTAACTTTTTATAAAAATCGATTTAGTTTTCCAAAATATTATAGAGCTAGTATATCTTTTAGTTTGTATACAAAAATATTTTTGTTAAAAAAAAAACAACTATATTTTCTAGAAATTAATATCTATGAATGATTCGTACCAAATCAGTAAATTAAAAGTCAAAATGCACGCCTTTAATCGGCAATTAGTAAGCAATATTATTTATTTCATTCATATATAACGTCACCAAGAGCAACTTGAAATAGGAAGCAAGGCAATGCTCCTCCATTGCGCTAAATGTCATTCGTTGTCCTGCGTTATCCTGCGATCCTGTGCGGATGCTGGTATATTCGAATACAATTGCACCTGCCAGCCATTTAAGAGAATTTCGGATGATTGGTCAGATCGTATAGCTCATTAATCGCATCGATGCATATGTTTGGGCCGATTTTTTGCAAGTGTCGTTGTTAACAATATCACCGCAAGCGTCGATGTGGATGTGGAGACGATAAGTCGCACAGGACTCCACCTGCATAACTGATAAGATTGCAAAGCAAAGGTTTTCAAATTCATAGGGTAATTTAGATGTCGGAAAGTTGACCGTGACCTGCCTAAGATAACCGCTATTTATTATTTTAATATACATTTATAAATTCGATATTGCATTTTTTATTTTGTAATAAAATGCTATTTTAAAGAGATTTTTACCTTGTACAAATCCAAATCCAAAGTGTGCACTTTTTGTTTGTTAAAAAAGTGTGAAGTGTCAAAAAAAAAAAAATCAAAAGTATTTCTAGTGCAATTATCGATTTTTTGAAAGCCCTCTTTTTGGGATAACCACTCTTATATTCTTATCTAATTTAATATTTGTCTCTGAATGGATTTTCATGTGAAATAAGATTTATTTATGGAAAGCTTTTGATTTGACAACTGTTTTGGAATTTGTATAATTGAATTATTTTGAAATTATATTACAATTTAAATGGTTTTAAAATTTGCAAATTCAGAATATAACAATCATGCCTCTGATCTGAAAATAGAGAAAGTAAATTCTGAACACCTAGCAAACATTTGCTAAGTGTGGTACATTTGTGGTAAGAAAATCGATGGGATCGCAGCAAAAGCTGAGACCTGCCTCCTTGGTATCCACAAACTGCAGCGTTGCAGGACATGCAACCTGCTGACAATTGGGAGTTGGTATACTAGCGTCATGGATATTATTGTAGGTTAGGAAAGCGTAACGAGTACCGTCTCCGTCGTTGACAGTCTTAAAGAGCCATTTGGGTACTGGATTACTGCTTGGTGCGTTCAAATAAATCGGCTTGAGTTCCCCAGTAATGCTGTGCGGCAGCTCTAGGACACCAAATCCTCCCGTGCAGATCTTCAGCACTTCAAAATTGCCATCGTTAAGCTGGTTGCGTATCCAGGTTTCCAGGGTTTTCCAATTGCTACGATTGATTGAACCAAACTGAGCAACAACATTCAGATACTTGAAACTTAATCGCATATACGACTCAAAACCAAAGTCGGCGGAAGCCGCAAGATGACCACGATCGAAGACAAGGTCGCGTGCGGAGGTAACAAAATTCTGATTTGGTCCGAGTGTCTCCTTGAAGGTTGCATAAATGTTCTTAGCCTGGAAAAAAGCAGCTGCGGCGCCGCTAATAACACCATCTGAGGTGAATGATTGGTCGGGGCGTGGTGCGGCTAAAATAAATACGAAAAATAATAGTAATGTGTGGTGCCGAGCAGTATAATAATACCATCAGTGATGTGGCACTTGTTTTTATCCTTATAAAATTTAAAATAGATGATCTCATATTGCGACAGATGGTTCATATTTGCACAGAGTATAATACGACTATAATATTATTTGTTTTGAATATCTCTATTTCAACTTACGCGATGTGATGGGGTATGCCAGATGTATAACAAAGTGCGCTGTTTGGTTTGGCACATCATAACAGCTTCTATATAGCTCGAGAAACTGCGTATCACTCAGCTTATAACCCACTCGGTACATGGTAAATGGACATATCTCATCACTAACCACCTCCACAATTCCCTTCATTAGTTTACTGCAATCGGTGATAGGCAACGGTGGCGACATATTGCCATTCTGCTCGCAAGTGGTGTACTCCACATCACTGATATTGCAAATCATTTCCAATGTTTGGTCGGTGGGTACCATATCCAAGCGCTGTAGACAGAGCTCACCATCATCGTCGCGATAAGTAAATAATCGAGTTGTTTCCGAGACCTCCGTAGCGCCAAGTTGGCAATCGGCGCCAACGCGCCAAAAAACTGCAATTGGGTTGTTGCTATTAATTTAAATTAATTACACGATTAAACTTTGTACTTACACATTAAGAAGCATAAGCAAAGCATCGTGTTCATCTTGAGACCTGAAAGCGAGCTAAGCGACTAAAGATTGACAACGACAGCTCTTAGACATGAAACCTAGCAAAGTGAGAAATTAAAACAAACAAACAACTATTTGAGACAAGACAGTTGTGTACACAAGCAGCTGTTTATTTATATGTACATAAACTTGATTGGTATCTTCATTATGCATATTGGCCTCTGTCATAAGTCTATCTGGTTCAAGCGTTCAGATATAGCTCAAAAAGTTTTTGTATAAAAATTCAATTAATTTTCAAAAATATTATAGACCTAGTGTATCTTATAAATTGTAAAAAAAAATTTGTTAAAAAAAAAACAATTATATTTTATAGAAATTTATTTCTATAAATAAGTTTTACCAAATGAGTTATTTAAAAGAAGATATGCATGCGTTTAATCTACACTGAGTAAACAATATTATTTATTTCGATCATTGAGTATATAATGTCTACCAGGACAAGTTGAAATAGGAAGCTCGGCCAATGCTCCTCTGAAAGTATTTATAATCTTCGTCACATCTACGATACCTGTATTTTATCATTTTAATATACATTTGTAATATACATTTCGATTTCCAATTTTGAATTCAAATTCATACTAACCCTACAATTATATTTTCGCTAAACCAAGCGAACAATTTTGTTTATTAAAAGAGGGGTAAGAAATTAAAAATGATTTTGGCCGTCATATAGAATTTTAAGAGTCCCTTATTAGAATTCAAAACTCGTATATCCTCATCTAACTTAGACTTTGTGTCTGAATGGATTTTCATTTGGAATCATATGTATTGTTTGGTTTGTTTTCTGGCTTTTGATTAACCAACCAACTTTTGCAAGTTAATATAATTAAATTGATTTGTATTTAAATCATGAAGTTTTTTTTTTTTAAATGTTCAAATAATCAAATAAAAATCATGGCTACTTATTTATAGTACACATGGCTAGACATTTTAATGTAATTAGATAAACATTTAAGATATATGTACTATACTCAAATAGCGAACGGACATTCTCAACTCTTAGCAAACATTTGCTAAGTGTGGTAAATTTTTATTAAGAAAATCGATGGGATCGCAGCAAAAGCTGTTACCTGGCGCTTTGGTTGACTGAAACTTCAGCAAAGCAGGACATGCAACCTGCTGACAATTTGGAGTTGGTATAGTAGCGTCATGGATATTATTGTAGGTTAGGAAAGCGTAACGAGTACCGGCTCCATCGTTGACAGTCTTAAAGAGCCATTTGGGTACTGGATTACTGCTTGGTGCGTTCAAATAAATCGGCATGAGTTCCCCAGTAATGCTGTGCGGCAGCTCTAGGACACCAAGTCCTCCCGTACATATCTTCAGCACTTGAAAAATGCCATTGTTAAGCTGGTTGCGTATCCAGGTTTCCAGGGTTTTCCAATTGCTACGATTGATGCCACGAAACTGAGCAACCACATTCACATTCTTGAAACTTAATCGCATATACGACTCGAAACCAAAGTCGCAGGAAGGCGCCAGATGACCACGATCAAAGACAAGGTCGCTGTCGGAGGTAACAAACTTCTGATTTGGTCCGAGTGTCTCCTTAAAGGTTTTATGAATTTTTTTAGCCTTGAAAAAATCAGCTGCGGCGCCGCTAATGACACGATCGCTGGTGAAGCATTGGCTGGGGCGTGGTGCGGCTAAAATAAATAGGAAATAATTCTGAGCAGTACAATATGCCCTCAGTGATGTTTTACTTATGAAATTTAAAATAGAAGATTTCATCTTTCTGCAGAAGTGTTATTCTTACGTAATGTGCTGGGGTATGCCAGATGTATAACAAAGTGCGCTGTTTGGCTTGTCACATTATAACAGCTTCTATATAGCTCGAGAAACTGCGTATCACTCAGTTTATAACCCACTCGGTGCATGGTACATGGACATATCCCATCAGGAACCACCTCCACAATTCCCTTCGGCGGGTTGCTGCAATCGGTGAGAGGCAACTTTGGCGACATTTCGTTATTCTGCTGACAGCGGGTCTCCACCACATTACTTGCACTGCATATCATTTGCAGTTTTTGGCCGGTGGGCACCACATCTAAGCGATATAGATTGAGCTGTGAATTGGTGAGAACAGCAAATAATCGATTTGTTTTCGCGATATTCTCAGCGCCAAGTTGGCAATCGGCGCCAACGCGCCAAAAAACTGCAATTGGGTTTTTCCTATTAATTTAAATTAATTATATGATTAAACTTTGTACTTACACATTAAGAAGCATAAGCAAAGCATCGTGTTCATCTTGAGACCTGAAAGCGAGCTAAGCGACTAAAGATTGACAACGACAGCAAGACGATTATAATTGAGAGCAGAGACAAGATGAGTAAACATTTGCTCACTTTTGAAGATAATAGCATTATCTGACACGCCTATTCTCAGAACAAGCTATTGTTGCATTATTTAAAACCAATTCATTGAATAATCAGTGTTTTTTTTTTATTGTTTCGAAACATTTAATGCATAGATAGAAGATTAATGTTTATATACTTGATTAGTATCTTCTTAATGAATATTGCCCCCTGTAATGAGCTTCAGATCAATCTAAAAAAAAGTTTAAATTTGCAAAATATTATCAGCATCGAACTACGATACTTATAGATTGTACAAAAATAACATCATATTTGTAAAAAAAAAAAACAAAGAGAGAACTGAGTAAACAATAATTACATATTTGATTCATTAAATATAAAATGTGTGCAAGGAAACCAATTATCGGCGTGCCGCAGACATTTTCATTTTTTGTTGATTTCACTTTTAAGCTATATGCAATGCTTATCTGCTACTCGCTTCTCGCTGTGCCATTCATAAATTGCCATTTCAATGTGTCGTTGAGCTTTCAGATCGCAGGTCATCACTGATAACTGTAACCACACAAGCACACAGAGATACACACACGGCAGCTCTAACTGACTGAGGTGAGTTGTTGGCCGCCTGCTCCTGTCAGCCATGCTTATTCATAGCAAAGAACGCCAAGCCCCTTTTCGTTTATCAGTGTTTATTATCAGACCTCGCCAAGTGGAAATGTTGGCTTCGCTGTTTGTTTGGCTACTGCACATGCACAAAAACAAACATATATATATATATATCTATATATATAGCTAAGTGCTTATGAGTATAATAACAAAAGGGGATGCCATTCACACCGCATATTGTCGAGCATTTCAGCTATGAACCTTTGTGCATTGCCTTTTATCAACAGCACTCAAGCTACTTATCTAAAATTGAATCTAAGGTGTCGCAGAAATATAAATTCGCACTTGAAAAACTATTTGGCGGGTCAGCATACTATCGTATCTGTATATAGAAAGGGCAATCCAGTCAATCAAGTTTCTGGGTCGACAGCATGAACATGCTTAAGATTAGACAAATATGATAATATTATTGGCTGGGTTTGAATAGCTCCGTTTTGGCAATCTATCAAATATTAAAGTGCATATCAATATTAAGGTTAATTGTATTGCTTAATGTTATACAAACCTATAATTTATCTGTATATAATTAGAGTCAACTTATTTTGGAAGTTCGAATTTTGATCTCTTTTATTTAGTTATCGATTAATAGTTGAGTTAGAAGATTAAGTTAATTATCAGTTCAATTAAATACATTAACCTTTTTGTGTCGAAAATTCTCAGAGACCACTTAAATTTAATCTCAAATTTATTATAAACTTTTCTCTAGTCGAGCACTCGGCAAAAATTAAGTATACTCAAAACTCAAGCTGTTTGTGTTGCACGCCTTTGGTTGGCAACCAGAAATAACAATCAAGTGCCACATATTTTTTTTTTATATCTATCTGAAAAGTACAAGTGTTTTAATTTTTTATTTTATTTTAATTTCTTTCGCACTGAATGGCAGCAACCAAAAAATATATATAAAGCCGGATGGACTCAGTAATTCCCACTTTCCCACCAGTTATATATACATATCCACACATATAAATATTTTTGCACATATTTGCACACTTACTTAAAACTGGGTCAACATGTTTCGTCCTTTTTTTTTTTTTTCTTTTGCAATTTAATGCATTTTTATTGCACAAATATTTAGCCAATGTTATTTCGCTGTATTTTATGGCGAATATATGTTGTCGGCCTGGAATTGCAATTTGTAGTCTTCACATAAGCACAATTCCAAATAAAAACACACACACATGCAGACATATGCTCAGTTTGCCAGAAATAAAACGTTGCTTTGTTGTAAGCTACAAAACGGATGCACTTTGCGGCATGGCTTGAGTCTAATTTGCTTTGTGTTGAAATGCGCATGTATTAAAATAGCTGGCAACACATTTGAAGTGAGTTTTAGATGGAAAATAACAGATAACAGTTCGTAGACAAATTTTATTTTCAATTAATTAGAGATTTACATAATTAGAAACTTGACTTTTTATTTAAAAGTAAATGGAATACAATTTATTTCATTGTATTCACTTCCAAATTAGGAGTCACTTCAAACCTTCTACTTTTCAAATCAGAATCGCACTTGAGCAGAGTGCAACAAAAATTATGCTAGGAGACAACACATTGCAACGAATACAATTATCTATAATTAGTTAAATATCAAGCAAGCACCTTGATAAGCCTTAACTCAAATAACTTACTGGAAACATAATTACTCTTAACGATTCACTTGCTAGATGCAGACTTAAACGGATTCAGCAAGTCCAACTCACTTCTCTATCTAAGCACTTAAGCTACTCTTAGCACTTAAGTCATCAGAAACTCTATTCAACAATTATCCAATCAGCCAGCTTAATCATAATTTCTAATCAAATTAATTTTCTTGCAATTAAAAGTAGATTCCTTCCTTCACAACAAGAAATCTCACAATTTAGTTATAAAGTTATTTATTTATATTTGTGATTTTAGTTAAATACACTTCCTGTCCTTAGCCAATATTTGCACAATATCGTAATTGCCACCTTTTATTCATTATCAGTATATATAAAGCAATCCTTTTTCTTCTTCGTTCTAGAGATTACCGCTTTTCTATTTCAAAGACATCAAATATGAATATAGAATTGTTTTACATATTAATGCAAAGTATTTTCTGTATTCTTTATCACATTCAAATAAGCGATTTCATGAAAAGAAATGATGCCACAACTGAATAGACAATAATGCCCGAAGACTCTTGTCTGCTTTCAATTGTTATGCAAAATGCATTTTGTTAACAATAAGCAGCAACAAAATAGAAAATAATGTTAGAAATTTGCAATGCGCTAAAAAGTATGCAATGCTTTTGTGCATAGCTTTTATGGCATTTTGCGGGCTTGATGAGGGGAAAGGCGGTGTAAATGTAATTTTCAAACAATTTGAAGCTATTTGAACGCCAAATTATGCCATATAAAATCATGCAATGAGTGAGTGAGATATTTGTTGTGTTTAAATGGGTGTGTGTGTGTGTGTGTGTGTGTGCGAGGGCGCAATTGTAAATGGTCAATAAAAATAAAAGGAGGTCTATAAAAGCAACACAATCAACAAGCCAACCGCAATGACTGACGCATAAATTAAATTGTTGCCCGCCATCCTCTAGTGAATGGGCGTGGCACACACAAATACACACACATACACTCAAACACACACACACACATTTTATAATGCCATTCGAGTTGCATGTTTACAGCACAATTACAACTGTTTGGTTTTATGTGTGCTCAATAGACACTCACAAGTGCGTCCAGGGCCAGCAAATTTATGCCGAAGCTTTACGGGCAAGCCGCGTCGCAGTCTCCACTGTCCATAACATGGGCGTAGCTAAAGTGAGGGCTGTCCACCATCCAAGAACCGAACCGAAATGCATTTTTTGCGCACAGTTCTTTGGCGAGTAAGTGCGTCTAAATTAATTTAATTAAAATCGATATAATCTAATAACAAAAGTAAGGCAAATTAAGGTTGCAATATAATTTATTCGAAAATGTTCTTAACAAATGAATAAATTTGATTAAAAATCAAATTGTGTAGAATTTGTTCTTTTGAGTTCTTATTTCAAGTTGTTGATATCAGTCTTGAACCGAAGCCCTCTTTGTATTCCAAAAATCGCACCAAGTCCGAACTTAAATGTTTTTCTTATCTCTTAAAGAATGTGTATATATATAATTAAAATTAAAAATAAATTAAAAGAGAAGGGGAGAGGACGCCTTTCTTATTTTTCTTATACCCCTCTAACTAAGATGCTGTGCATACGCCCATGATCTATACACATATAATAATCTCGCTGTGATCCGCATTTGAAGGCAGGTTGAATAATTTATTCAATGCCTGCTCTTATTGCAAGCACGCACACGCACACACCTAAGCCAAAACATTGAAAAGAGGCTCACAATAGCGGCCAATTTGAATTGCTACCACAATTTATGATCCGACACTGAATGACCATTAAAAGTCCGAATCTCTCGAAAATGCACTTGTTTTTGTTGCTTCTAAATGGCCATCTCTGTTTTACGATTTATGAATATTGATTTGTGTGCGAGCAGGCAGAGGAGTAGACAGGCAGGCAGGCATGCAAAATTTGTTTCTTTTTTAATGTTTCTGTAATTGGATTAACTTACGATCTGGTGAAAACTCTAAAAGAAACAATAAAACCGAATATAAATAAAACCTGCAAAAAGAAAATAAATCTTATTTCATTACAATTATAAAACTTGATTCAGCATTTTCCAGATATTCATTTTATAATATTTATATTATAAAAGTATATATATATTTCTTTCTTACAGGGGTACACTCAAATAAATATTTGAAATTCAAAATATATATGACACAAAGTTTAGTTTAAAGTTTGTCAATCTTAGTTAAGGAAAATGTTAACTTAAATATCTTTAAAGAAAAACCGTCAAACCGCCAGAGGCACAATTTGATGATTATTTTTGAGAAAATACAACTTTGAAAAGCACGAACTAAAAATTATCGATTTCAATTTTAGATTCCCATTTGGATTATGTATATTTCTCTGATTATCGCACTACTAGTTTTCAGAAAAAATTTCGTTACAACTAAAAAAAATAGTTATTCTAATAAAACAAAGAAGTTTTCTGGTTTTTAAGGTCACTTTAATTATTGCGCATGTTTTCGTTTTCTTTTTTGGTTTTTGGCTCGCAGACAAAGCTGACCATATGAGACCGAATAGAGAAATAATTGGAATGCATGCATCAAAGCAATTCGGTCCAAAAATAAACAACAATTGCAACTAGTTTTGCGGACTTGGGCATAAGGAAAAAAAGAAAAAAGCAAAAGGAAGTACTTGGGGCTAGAATATTTCGATA